TTAATATAACTTTCCACTGTGCATTTCATGATGCATTATGAATCGCTTCTGGCGGCTGCACGCTCCCGAGAGCTGGCCACCAGTCAGCCTTACTTCTTATGATGTTTGTGTAGCACTTGCTACACAAAACAGATTTCACTGGTTTTGAATTTTTATCTTTCTCTCTTTTTATCTCTCCTTTTCTCTCTCTCTCTCATTTTGAGGAAAGGCTGCAGTAAATCTGTTTTCATTAGCATTTCAAGCACATTCTGTGACTGTCAAAGCTGGTTCCAATTGCGCGGATTAGAAAGGAATTTTTCTTGCCAGCAGAGCTAGAGAACACATGTTTATCAGATGTTTCTGTTGGTGGACTTGTTGGGGGCTAATCAACCTAGAACTTGTACCTTTAATTAAAATTTATTATAAAATATTGCAAACATCATACATGTTTGGAATGAGAATGAATTCAGACCATTATGTAGGGAAGGAAAGAAATAGCTTTCTTTCTCATTGCTAGGATCATGGCTGAGGCAGTCATAGCAAAAGACAGATAAACAAGAGAAAAGCATACAAATGGGTTTAATACGTTCTGCATGACACAGGAACCTTCAAAAATGAAGACCCAAAGGAACAGGGAAGCCTCTGTATTTGGGGACTTAGGTCTGAAGAGTGGACAGTCATCTAGAAGTACAGTTGGACAGGGGAGTCTGATCTCATGGAGATAGTCTGGGGGGCATCAAGGCCTTTGTGTTCTCATTCTTCTGTGTCCCTGTGTCTCCTGAGAGAGGGACATTCCTCGCCTCTGGATGTAGGATGGGTACCTCTGGATTGAGAGTTTTATGATGTGCTTCAGGGGAGAAGGGTGAGCGGGAGGTGAAAGAGACCTTCCTTCTGTTTTCTCCGATGCCAAGGGGGGCCATATGTTGGGGTAGTATGTCCTAAACCCATCGAATGATACGAAGTCATATGTAAACCCATCTTCACCCTTCCATGCTCTGCTCTCAAAAACTCCATCCCCCCCACTCCCATACGCCTCAAATTCCATTCTAGTGGGAACAACTTCTAACCATTCTCTGAAAAATTTTTTCAGATCACTTACAAAGACATAAATACCTTACTTTTCTTTTATGCGTAAACAGGCCTCGATTTGTCAGTGTTCCTTTAAGCTTTTCATCACATTGCCTTTGTGTCCCATTTCTGGGCTGTTTCCTCAACTTAATCTTCTATTTCAAAAATAGTGGCCATCAACTATGTCCATTCTGTTCCTCCGTTTTCTAATTTTTCTTTTTGATAATCACATTTTTCTAAATATCCAGATTTACTATCCTTCTACCAACGGCATTGTTAAAGGTTTTCAGTAGATCCCTCTTTTAGTTAATGCTAAACTATGAATCCTAAGCTGTGATACAATTTTTGCTTTGCTGCTATTAACATTCATGGTTAAATTATATGTATATTCTAGTATCAGTTATCTATTGCTGTATTAAAAAGTACCCCAAAATGTAGGGGCTTCAGCAGTGATTTATTCACAGTTCTGTGTGTTGACCAGGCCCACTCAGTAAGAGCTGGATGGTCATTTATCTGGGACCGTAGCTGAGACAGGAGAGCCTCTCTCCTCATGGTCTCACATCCTATAGGAGATACCCCAGGCTTGTTCTCATAGCGAGAAGGTTCCAGAAGCTGTAGGCACAGATGCTGAAGAACTTTTCGAGCCCCTGGTTTTGCATCCCATTAGCTGATATCTCATTGGCCAAGTAAGTCACATGGCTAGGCCCAAATTCAAAGAGCAGAGAAGCAGACTCCACGTCTAGATGAGAGGCTGGGAAGTTGCACTGCAGTGGGGCATGCATCCAGGATGGGAGAAACCTAGGGCTGATTTTCACAGCTACCACCACATTTCCAATAGAGGCTCTTGGTTTTACCAATGTAGAAGAGTTTTGAAAGGTGTCCCATTATAATGGGTCAATTAAAATGGTAGGTCCTGATTCAGGTCTCGCTCCAGGAGAATATTTATGGGCTTTCCTGTAAATGTGTGTGTGTGTATTCAGCCATCTTGAAAAGGTAGATTTCCCCAAACTGGGCCTGGATCTGGAAACTAAGCTCTCCCTCCATTGCTTCCTCTTCCTCCTCCTTTTTCTCCTTTTATATTGAATTTACATTGCTATTATTGGTACTATTTTATATACAGTATAAATACATACGTAAATATGTAAATATATACTGTATATATTTATATTATTTTATATTTATAATATTTATATTTTTGAATCAGTAAGCCACATTTGTTCATAGGGAGTGAACTACAAGCTCTTCTGCTGATTGTAATGCTGCTCTATCGATCAAAACAGAACCTGGAACTTTTTTTGGCTGGTCTAATTTCTCTGTTAATGGGTTTAAAACTAACACAAAATTTTATAATTTTCACTATACAGGCACTTCACTGAAAGCAGCAGCTGTGTCAGTCAAGAAAGAATCAGAAGATCCTAATTACTATGAATATAATATGCAAGGTAATACTGTTTTATAATAATTTTCTTCTCCAAAAGTTGTTTGTGACAGAAAATTTTAATTACCACCCATCTGAAATACCGGCTAGGAGTAATTAAGATCCATGTATGTTTATCTAGGATCTAACATTCTGTCATTGCAGTTATAAAATAGATTCTAATTCGCCTAACCCCGTATCTTCTTAGGCACGTGAAGGTAAAGGTATTTCAGGATGCATTTTACTTGACTTCATTATTTTTATTTTGTGTGTTCCAAAATATTTGTCCCTCAATCTTCTCCTAGCTAGCCCATGTTCTCTGCTACTGATACAATACTGAAAATGAAAAGAGGCCAGGTGCAGCGGCTCACACCTATAATCTTTGGGAAGCTGAGACAGGAGGATCATTTGAGGCCAGGAGTTCCAGACTAGCCTGGGCAATTCATCAAGACCCAATCTCTAGGGAGGCACCTGTGGCTCAGTGAGTAGGGCGCCGGCCCCATATATCAAGGGTGGCAGGTTCAAACCCGACCCCGGCCAAACTGCAACAAAAAATAGCTGGGTGTTGTGCCTGTAGTACCAGCTACTTGGGAGGCTGAGGCAGAAGAATCGCCTAAGCCCAGGAGTTGGAAGTTGCTGGAGCGACTCCACTGCACTCTACCAAGGGCGAAAAAGTGAGACTCTTGGCTCTACAAAAAAAAAAAAAAAAAAACCAATCTCTATAAAAGGAATTTTTTTTTTTTTTAATTAGCCGGGCATGGGCAGTGCCTGTGGTTCAAAGGAGTAGGGTGCTGGCCCCATATGCCAGAGGTGGTGGTTCAAACCCAGCCCTGGCCAAAAAAAAATTAGCCAGGCATGTGCCTATAGTCCTAGCTACTCCTGAGGCAGGAAGATCATTTGAGCCCAGGAATTGAGGTTCCAGTAACCTATGACCATGCCACTATACTTCAGCATGAGCCACAGAGCCAAGACCCTGTTTCCAAAAGAGCTAGAGATAAGTAATTCAAATGCCCTTAATTATTATTGCCTTTTTTATTTTTTTGAGATCTAGTCTCACTCTGTTGCCCCAGGCTAAGGTACCATGGTGTCATAGTTCACAGGAACCTCAAACTCCTGGGCTCAAGTGATCATTCTTGCCTCAGCCGCCCGAGTAGCTGGGACTAAAGGCACCTACCACAATGCCCAGCTAGTTCTCTTATTTTTAGTAGAAACAGGGTCTGACTCTTCCTCAGGCAGGTCTTAAATTTCTGAGCTCAAATAATCCACTTTTCTTTTGGCCTCCCACAGTGCTAGGGATTAGAGGCTGAGCCACTGTGTCAGGCCTGTTACCGCCTCATTGATATCAGCTAAGTGGGAACCAAAAGATAGTTCATTTCAAATTGCACACCCTTTTCAAACATGGCCCAGGTAGGCAATTTATGCACTCACATGGCTGGGGCTCCTCTCCCCCAGTCTTTTTCTTTTTCACTTAAAGAACTTGGGGAAATAAAAGAACTCATAAATTGGCACCATTTTGCAAGTCCTAATGAAACAATACATCTTACTAATAATCATCCATGGCCATTAAAAACATTTCCTGAAAGGCTAATGGGGACTTTATCATGAACAGATGATGATTCCTGAACTCTTTGGTCTGTGGTGAAAGTCACAATTAGAGGTGACCAGACATTATATATCTCCCGTTGGGATCCAGTGTAAAATATGCCACACCACTTTTGGCAAGGATTCCCACTCCAAAAATCAAACTAAATCTGATCCAGCCTCTAGATCTAACCAGCAACTTGCCAGAAATATGGGGAATAAAGGAACCTATGAAAAACCACCATAAGGACGCAATCAGTAAACCCCAGAATCTGAGAAACTTCCACAAGACAAATGAACTGATTTCTTCAACAAATAAGGGCAAGTTGAAAAACAAAAGGAAAGGAAAAGGAGAGATATTTGTTTTATAGTAAAATAAATTTAAGAGACAGAACTAAGTGCAATGTATGGGTTTTGCTGGGATCTAGATTTGAACACTAGCTGCTTACAGTGGGATATCAAGTGATACCTGGGAGATGGGAAGGAGTGCTGGAGTTGGAAAAGCATCTTTTTACAACCATTACACTGAAAGACTGGATCACTCAGGAATCATCTGTGGATGCCAACGTGAGGGAAGAATTTGGAAAAGATACTTTCCAAATATCTTTTGGAAAGAAAATATTTTCTCTAAAAATATTTATATAGTCTTAAAGTTTCTCTCTCTACAAGCTGTTTGCAAGTTATAAGAGGAAAGGGGGCGGGGGGAAAGACCATAGTTATACAGTGGAAAAATGAGACATCTTGGCCAGGTGATGAGATTCACATGACTAGTAGGGGATATCATGCCCACACCAGATGTGACATGCTGAAAAGGACACACATCTACTTTAGCCAGTGCTCTGGCCAAGGATGCAGAATCTGCAGCTAATGGCAAGGGAACATCAGGCTGACTCCAAGTGAGGAAGATTCTATGGTGAAAGAGGCCAAGGACGGTAGTTACCATCACTTTCTGTTTCTAAAAAATGTCAGTGCTATAAAAGACAAAAACACACTGTGAGACCAAAGAGACACCACAGCTGGAAGCACTGCCTGGCCCTAACTAACCTGAATCCTTTACTAAAAGGGGAAAAGCTCTCAGGGACATTTGGGCCAATTGACAAAACGGGAGCATGAATTTCCTGAATTTTGAGGTCTTATGATGAATGTGTAAAGGAATATCCCTATTCTTAGGAAATAGTCACTGAAGAAATTTTGAAATAAAAGGCCATGGAGTCTATAAATTTCCTTCACATGGTTCAGAAAAAGACTATAGAAGCATGTCTATATACACTGCTATAGATGTAGGGAAGGAAATATAAATGATCGAGGAAATGGGAGAAAAGATTACCATGGGCCAGGCGAGGTGGTTCACGCCTGTAATCCTAGCACTCTGGGAGGCTGAGGTGGGTGGATTGCTTGAGCTTGTGGGTTCAAGACCGGCCTGAGCAAAAGCGAGACCTTGTCTCTAGTGAAAATAGAAAAACAGAGGCAAGAGTATTGCATCCTCATTTATAAGTGAAATATGTTTGTAATTTCCCTTTATAGCAATATATTTTTTCCAATTTTAATATCAGGTGTATCCAGATGAAGTAGAATGATTTTGAAGTATTCTTCTTGGCTCGACGCCTATAGCTCAACCGGCTAAGGCGCCAGCCACGTACACCTAAGGTGGCGGGTTCGAATCCCCAGCCCGGACCCGCCAAACAACAATGACGGCTGCAACCAAAAAATAGCCGGGCGTTGTGGCGGGCGCCTGTGGTCCCAGCTACTTGGGAGGCGGAGGCAGGAGACTCGCTTGAGCCCAGGAGTTGGAGGTTGCTGTGAGCTGTAATGCCACGGCACTCTGCCCAGGGGGACAGCATGAGGCTCTGTCTCAAAAAAAAAAAAAAGAAGTATTCTTCTTTTTCTATTGTCTATAAGATTTGGCATGATCTGTTTTCTGAAGTTATCTTTTTTTTTTAATAAATATTAGTTTCTTTTTTGAGACTTTGGGGGAAAAAATAATAAGAAGAGGTTAACTGATAACTCCATACTGAAGCTGCCACCCTAGGTAGAGTGCGTCACAGCTCACAGCAACCTCTAACTCCTGGGCTCAAGCGATTCTCCTGCCTCCACCTCCCAAGTAGCTGGGACTACAGGCACCCACCACAACGCCCGGCTGTTTTTTGGTTGCAGCCGTCATTGTTGTTCGGTGTACCCAGGCTGGATTTGAACTTGCCAGCTCAGGTGTATGTGCCTGGCGCCTTAGCCGCTTGAGCCACAGGCGCTGAGCCGATAGACATACTCTTATCTGACAATGTGAATGTTACTTTTTTTGCATTATTATTATTGCTCAATATTTCATTGCAGCAATCGTCTGATTTCTTTTCTGAATGTATTTATCTTCGTTTGTTCTTTACGAGGTTTTGTTTCTAGTCCTTATCTTGAACATTGTTGTTGTTATTAAATTTTAAGCCTTTTTAATTTTGTGAAGGCAAGAAGTGGAAACCAAATAAAGACATGTATGTGTATAGAGAAAATAAAAATAAATAAGTAAAAAGATTATACACCAAAAAAAAAGAGAGAGAGAGAGAGAAACTGAGGCAAGAGGCATGTTATGGCACTCTACCCAGGGTGACAGCTTGAGACTCTGTCTCAAAAAAACCAAAACAAAACATTACCATGGTATCATCTCAATAGAGGGCATTTGGATCTTTGTACTATTTTATTTTTGCAACTTGTATGTAAGTTTAAAACTATTTCCAAATAAAAAGGTTTTTTTTAATGTAAGAGACATTTAGGAGACACTAGGGAGGTTTGAACAATGACCAGCTTTAGATGAGGATGAAGCACTAATGTTGCTTTGGGGAGCAGTTAGGATGCTGTAGGTGGTGATGCTAAAGGGGGAGTCCTTGTGTTCCTCTCCACTGGTGCAGGCTGCAGTGTTTGCACATGGAATTCCAGGCAGGACACTGGATTTACTTTAATACCCAGTGGGCTAGGGGCATAGGAGGTACAGATAAAACAGGATGGGTTGGCTCAGCGCCTGTGGCTCAAGTGGCTAAGGCACCAGCCACGTACACCCAAAGTGGAGGGTTCGAAGCCAGCCTGGACCCGCCAAACAACAATGATGGCTGCAACCA